GGCGGCGGCGGCGGCGGCGGTGGCGGCGGCGGCGGGCGCGCCCCCGCGCAAACAGCGCCGCTCACACGCGCGCGCGCACGCACCGCCGTCGAGTTCACGTCGCGGTCACTAACGCACGTCGTCGGAGCAATCATCCGTGAAGTGGTCAGACCGCCGATTTTCCACGTCTGGGTGCCGGGGTTCAAATCCCAGTCGTTCCATGTGAAATTTGACTGGCTTATGTAGCTCAGGGCTTCGACTAATGTCACTGCAATTCATCAGACCGGGAGGTCCGTCGCTTCGAGTCCCGACGGTGGCAGGATTTTCGACATTACCTTGTCAGCTAGGTCGGATTCAGCCCCTTGTCCTGAGAAGAATTCTAGCGGCTGCTCTGAACGGTGGTTTTCACGGTTTCTTGGATCAACCGTAGGCGAATGCTGGAGGAGTACACTAACAAACGGACCAACGACTGCGCGCGATATTTCCTTCCTCTTTCTTCCATTCTTACTTACACACACACGATTATGCATACTACACATTTCAGGAGACCAGTCAGGAGCTTAGACCTTGTCCTGGTTATGGCGGTTCTTCACTGCTGGCAGGTACCTCGTCGTGGAAAACCTTGTTCGGAAAACGTGTAGGTCGGTGGCAGGTCTCACCATTCAGAGAGGAAAGATCACCGTCACAGCACGATAAAAACACCCCTACACTAACGTGACTAATTATCTTAACAGTTGCCGCGCCCGGAAACACAACCAATCAATCCATCGTGTGAAATTTGTGGTACACGAAGCGGCATCGCGGTACGTTTCCATAGGGTGCGCCCGTTTCCCCTGCTTCTATCACTAATATCATATCAACATCACAATTTCCCAAATTATCAAAACCAATCATTCCAAGTGTGGACGAAACGGCTGGGTACTGACGGACATACAATTATATCTGTTATATCGACCAATCGCAACCAAACAAAAGAACGTAAAACCACTCTTAACGGTCAGAGACCGATAAGAATTTAACATACCACCAGGTCGTTGTGCAATTCGAAACAAATGAGTCCTAGCTAAAGATGATATATGAGCATACTTGAAAGTCGCGCATGCGGTCGTTGTTTAGGTCACATGTTCCCGCGTTCCATCGTTTCGATCGTGCATCCTGGCGAAAATCTTACTTCCAGAGCGCAGAGATTCCAATCGCAGTAACTCTTGGTTACCAGGAAATGGAGTGGTATTATAATGCGAGCAATGCATGACCATGAAATCCATATTACCGCTCCCAATGAAATATTTGACACGATGAAGATATGATGAAGAGTTGGAGAGGCAGAATGTCAGAAAATGTGCTTGATATTTCGCGCAAAGCACACATGCGCTGTTGTGCTGTCAGTGCTAATGTTTTGCACTTTGCAAAATCTCCTATATACAAAAACATTTTGGGATAGGGAAGTCGACATGGGCAGAGAGGTGGTTAAGGCGGTAACATCGTAACTTCATCGGCTTAAAAGCGTTCGAATCACGTCTAGGCCATGGATGTTTGCATTTGTATTGAAGCATGCAGGGTCTCTCTCGATCACCATGTATCCTCACCTTAAACTCTCTTCTTTCTATTCCCTTCGTACATTCAACGCCATCCCAACCAACATAATCATTAGAATCTTCATGGACTTCACCCCCATTAAGTCTAAAAAGAACTATTGCAAGTTAATATACCCGGGTGAAGGAGGAGGAGAAGAGAGGACAAAGCGGAGGGTGATGAGACGGAAAAGAGGAGGAGGGGAGGTGGAATAGAGAGGAGGACGGGAGACGGAAAAGTGAGGAGGTGAGTCGGAAAATAGAGGAGGAGGAGGAGGAGGAGGAGCAGAGAAGCAAAAGTCAGGAGGAAGAGGAGATCGAGAAAAGAGGAGGAGAGGGACACGAAAGGAGGAGTCGGAAAAAAATAAATATGAAAGTAGATGGAGAAGAGAAAAAGATGGAGAAGGAATAAAAAAGATAATAATATAAGTAACGTATGTAAAAGTGAGGATGTAAAAGTGAGGATGTAAAAATGTGACGTAATATAAAATAAAATATGAGTACTGATGAGAGGAAATCTGGAGCTTCGGGAAAATAGAGGTTTCGTACTACGGTAAAGATTACTGCACTCCTTGTTTTGGAGAGTTATCCAATAAATCTTCGATCTACTAATTCGCTATCAGAACGCTGATGATAACGAAAGCCGCAACATACTTGAGATGTGCGCGATGTTTGCTTCAGAAACGTACCACACCCCTAGACCACCAACGTTGCATCTTCCGCCCACAGCACTTATTGCCTTGCGGCTCGCCAACGCAAGGACTTCTCTCCGACGGCGGCTTATTGACAACTTCCTTGTCGTTATTTCCGCAGCCGCGCCTCCATCGCTAATATAGCGTCTGTTGACGCAACCGCCAACGTCGCTAATTCAACTGCCCAAGTCAGCAAGTTTCCAGTACTGTAAGCTGCTATCCTATTCTTGCTCTTGCCTCCCGCACACACAAGAAGAGGTATTTATAGTTTTCGTGCTCTGCTCAAGTACTGCAAGCCTTCCTTTTGCGCTCACCACGAAAAAGAGAGGGAGAGACTTCCCACAGTTTGTAGACTCCATTTGACAGTTGCGAGCTTCAATAAAAACTTCTATCTTAATTCAGAAAAAATCATTAAATCTTTTTGTGCTATAAAGAACAAAAAACCCACTTAAAATACACATCCAATATCCCAATGACGAAAGTTATGCAAGAACACCAAAAAAGAGAAAATTAAGGGAAAAATTATTTTATTTATTTATTTATTTATTTATTTATTTATTTATTTATTTATTTATTTATTTATTTATTTATTAAAGTCCTTTCAGCTACTGACGTCAATGAGGTTCATGGATAGTGATCTAATGAGCACGTGATGGCTCTAAGGATGAACGAAAAATGCTGGAGAGAGCGGAAGAGCAAGTGGAGAAACCCAAGAAAGCGGCCGAAAGTTCGCTTTGTTCAACCAAAAATTCTATGTAGGTTGGCCAGGGATCGCTACATTCACACGTCACCACCCGCCCTCCAGGTTCTATATCGCTCCTTTTAATTGTTGTTTCTTATCTTTGCCTTTGATGTAGTATCCATCTATACAGTAATATAAGCTTTAGTAAGCTATAGCTTCAACTTCTATCAGGGACAATACAAATTTGGTTATAACGTCTGCTCAGAAGTACTATTTTGAACTTCCTGCCATTCCCGACCCAAGCCCGTCGTTAAAAATGATCAGCGTAGGCACATCCGCATCTACCCAACACTTACTACAGTCGCTTCCTTTGTTCTCATGCCGTTCGCAACACCAAACGTTTACCGCTTGACCGCGGAGTCAATTACTTTCTTTATTTGTTTGCTTGTTTATAGCAGCGAGATGAAGGGTATCATGAGAAACGTTGAGTAAAAGAAGCGCGAAGAGACGTCAACTACATCGTGGGATGATACCCTTCATCCTTGCTTAACTTCCTCAATGTTTCAAACTATGGAACAAGAAGGCGATAAATGGTTTGGAATAGACAATCTAATTGTTTACAGAAGGAACATTACAACGTTCTTAGTAGACACCAATTATATACGTATTCGCCATTTACAAGTGAAGGTAATGCTTTGTGATAATATAATGAGTTAGAGCAGATGTTTACGGAAGTTATTGAACAATTTAGACTGCGTAAAAATGTTAGTCAGAGGCATTCTCTATTATAAACAATGAGGTCCCAATTATACATTTCAAAAATGTTTATGAAAATTTGTGATGGGATTCTATTTTGCAAATCATGAAATATTTTCATTACACTCTTCATAATCCTAAATACAGAGTCTCAATGAGGGTTGTGCAACAATCTTCAACTGATTTTAGGAATTGACCAAATTTAGTAAGAAATTTTGTTAAAAAATGATCTTCATTAGCATTTCCAAGTACATCCTGACGTCCATTGTTAATATATCACAGTAGAACCGCCAGAACAGAACAAACTTTTTATTGCTTATAGAGACGTTCTACCAGAAAAATATTTTTTGACAGTGCATACTTAAACCATTAGTATAGTACATAAAAACAAAAACTTCGCAAATTTCTATTTTGCTTAGGTGGCTAAAAACTTAACAATACAATCTGGGGGACGCAGGAAATGTTATGGATATTTTACAATATTACGATTTAGATATTAAGAATTTCGCAGCTCTTTGGTTCGTAAACATTTTTTTCAGACATTTAATCAGTATCTGACTTTTATTTCCGAGCGTATTTATTTTCTAATGTCTCCCTTCATCTTTCGTGATCAATTGAAAACGAATTCTCAGATCAACTGATTAATCGTCTTGAAATTGCAAACGGGATTAAGTCCTAACACGGACATATTTTTAATTCATCTTTAAATAATTTTTATTATGAAACAAACCCCGGATAATTAGACTCGCGAGAAATAGAACCCCAGAATGGTGTTTTCCCTGATTACAGATTTCAAACGAAAATGATATGTCAGTTGGATCAGTCGTCATCATGGATCACGCCTTTTTTCTTCATCTGCAATAATGACGATCGCCATTACGATGGTAGAATGTAAATAATAATCTGGATTCACTCGGTCACTCTTAGAAATTTTATTCACAAGCGACTTCTTTCCTTCACTTGCTTCTTTCCTTCACCTGCTAGACGCATTTTATAGCGAGAATTTGTCTTGTACGGCTCAACATTTTTCGTAAGAAATGGGACCCCATTCCATTGGGGCTAAAAACTTTTGCTTATTTCGCTGTGTAGCTTCTCCTGTTCTGTAAAATAAAATATGACAACATAGCAGGAGAGAAGGACGGCGACTATAAAAATGCAGCTAGGAAGAAATATTTCACGGTACATCTAACCTAAACTATGTAAAATATATTTTGACGAGAAT